CATTATTCATTCTGAAAAATAAGATGTTCATGCCAGCGCATATTCTCAAAAGTAAGCCCCAATACAGGTGCCAATACAAATACGCACGAATGACAAAAGCAACGCAACTTTTCTACTAGATGTGAACAGGTAAAACAGCTGCTTTGATTTTAGTTTAATACTAAAGAGGATAAAGAAAAGACAAAGAGGGTGTTAGCTGAGGACAGATAAAGATGACGTGGTACTGACCGTCCCAGCTGAGCCCCTGCAGACCTTCTCTCAGCTGTTTACAGTCTCTGTTGAACCTCCAGGCGTCGTGCATCACCTCATTCAGCTTCTCGTCCTCATTCTCTCCTGGACAGACAAAAACATTCACCTCAGACGCTGCTGTTTTTCTCTCTCAGCCATTTTGCATTGGCAAGAGAACAATGTCTTAGTATATACAGCTCATGTAGCCTAACGATATTAGGAGAGAATCACTGAAGTCATGTATAATAATAACAAATATATAGTTTCACAAAAAAACATGAAACAAGTGATAAATTAAGAGACGTGATAAATAAGAAACCCTGTTAACATCAGCCACATAAACAAGGGCAGCGCTGTGAACACATTGCAGCTGACAGGACATTATGTTTTAATTTAAATTTAATGATGATCAACTCCTGAGAAAATCATTAACAGTCGATCATCTGTTTCCTGAACATAAGTTTTGTTTTAATCTACAACTGGAACGAGAATAGAATAGAAATGAGAGAAAAACCAATCTACTGAAGACACATGTCACATCACTCATCAATCAACATCATTTAGAGCACAGTTCATCTGGGGTGTTCTGTATCGCATCAACAGTTTATACTGATATGCAACATAATCAGTGTAAATAAAGTAGTGGTTGAATGTCTGTGTTTAGGTGTAGTTAGTTATAATCTCCATGTTTTACTAACCAGCTTGTGGTAATATACACTGTGCAATGACGTCTCGTAATTTTTCCAGCGCTACGTTGGAGTCTTCCCCTCCATTCTCTGGGTCGTGGATGAAGAAACCATCACTGGGCTTTGGGCTGCGACAAGAACACCAAAACGCATTGGTATTTTTTCAAATACACAGATGAATCAGGACTATTTACTACATGGAGAGTGAAAGATCCAGTAAAGCTGTGACTGAAGAGAGTGAGTTTAATCTGAAGGTCAATGTTTCTCGACCACAGGATACATGAAAACATCTACTTTATGTCTCAACTTTTTTTAAATTTAAAATGAGAAAAGCTAATGAAAAGATTTGACAAAAGATGAATCATACCCAAGAAGTTTCCGCTTCCTGAGGATTGGGTTGTTGACAGAGTTTAGAGGCTTCAGGCTGACGTTATGATCCTGAATTCTCATGTTGGCCAACTGCTCTGCATGGGCCTGCTGGATACCTGCGACTACAGCCTGGGACAGATCATCAGAGAAGAAGAGGAGGACACTATAATGCATAAGATGGCTGACTACAGAGGCCTCTGCTGGTGACTTCATTCAGGAAGAGCAGAATGACCGAACAGCATTGGTGCAGTGCAAGATTTTTCACTTTTAACTTCCCACTCACCTTGTCCATCATCATCTGGGCGGACGGCAGCACATTGTCCAGAGCCTCGGTGCAGTTGAGCCACGGGTGATCCAAGACTCCCTCAATCGTAAGCCTCTCCTCCGGCTTCACCTTCAGCAGCCTGAGGGGAGGAGGCGAGGAGGGGAGGGAGAACAGAGGGATGAGGGGATGGATCAAAATAAGGAAAGAGATGTGGGAGGTAAGACAAGTGGGAATAATAGTGTCAAAAAAACATACAGGAATAACATTTAAGATGCAAGCAGGAGTGTGATAATTTTTTGGAAATTTATAAAAACTTGTACATATTAGTGAGTCAAAGAGTTTTTCCAGGTCTGTTAAAGATGAGCTGTAGCAATGAAGAGACATTAGAAGGAAAAAGGAAAAACTAAAGACTTACTTGCGAACGATGTCCTTGGCCATCTCTGAGATCTGGCTCCACTCATCTTCAGGGAAGTCGAAGCTGCCCGTCATGATCTTCTTCCTCATGTCCTTTGGGATTGTGCGACTGTGGTGTTTGGAGTAAAACGGGGGATAGCCACACAACATTACGTAGATAATCACGCCAAGAGACCACAAGTCACAGCTCTGGAGAAAGACAAGAAACATTTATTTAAGAAAAATAAATCAACAATAAATCAAATATGAGAAACAAGACTCAAAGTGTAATTATTCTTATTTGAACATACCTTGTTATAGGTGTAAGGAGTGGGTGAGGTAGGTATAATTCCAGACTTTTCCTTCTGGTGTCTTCTTTGAGCCTCAAGTACCTGAACAGAGACGGTGGCAGAAGGGAAACATGAAGACATTCATTTAATAATCATTTACTGTTTATGATGTTCCAGAAACATCAAGACACAAACATGTCTCATGTGCTGTGTTAGCTTTTTACCTGAGGTGCTACGTAGTAAGGAGTGAACTGAGGGGTCATCAGGTCTCCTTGATCAATTTTGGCAAAGCCAAAGTCACACAACTTCACAGGTGCATCCTGTGGAAAAGACAGAATCACAGTGAGAGGGATGAATGTAGAGCAAGCAGAGGATTATGTTTCAGTGGCTTCTCATAAAACATTTCACTTTGCTTATATCTCAGTGGCTTAATAGATTTCCACTTGATAGTTTCTTGTTTCTATCACAGTAACTGCATATTGGATATTTCCTAATCTTCATCACTATCTTGACCACAGTCCACCAGATATTTCCTCCTCACAGTGTCTCAAAAGGTAAAGCAAAGGCTGCAGACTTGAAGTCCATCAAAGTTTCTATTCATATTCTGTATTCTGTGTTCAAAAGTACAAGTAGTGAGAACTGTGGTGATATTGGTGATTCCCAGCTGTGCCCTGTGAAACTTCCAGCCACTTACTAGAGAGTTATCCTTGAAGAGCAGGTTTTCTGGCTTCAGGTCACGATGCGCAATATTTAGGGAGTGACAGTGTTCCAAGGCTTGACTGATCTATAGGAGGAGGAAGAGACATGAGACTGAGCCACCGCTCTGTAGATGTGATGTTGCATCTATGGACCATGTGCCTCACTGCTAAACTGCTCCATGAGCTGCTTGATCGCAGTTATGATACATGCCAGTAAGTAGAAAAAGCTGCAATAAAAAAAACTGGAAAAAAATGTACCAGCAGACATTAAAAACAATTCCAACATTACAATGCACCACAGGAAAAATGTGTTTTACTGAAAGACGCTCAGATGAATCTTGACAGAATTGTGAGGATAACAACCCATTGGTGGACAAAGACTGAGAAGAACTGAATATTTACTGTACAAAAAGACATTCTGAGAACTTAAAGAGAGGCAGTCTGTGTGTGTGTGTTTATGTGTGCACACGTCTGTCTTCACCCACCTGTTTAGTGACCTGGCTGGCCATCTTTTCAGTAAAGTGCCTGTGCTGACTGATTCTGTGGAACAGCTCACCGCCTTCCATCATCTCCATAACTATGAGAAGCCTCGCTCTGCAAAAAAAAACAAGAAAGAAGGGATGATCAGAGGAAACTGACAGAGAGGAGATGGATTTATCAAACAACACACACACACACACAGACACACACACACACTTTACCTTGGACTAGACTCATGTGGGAACTGGACACTATTAGCATAAACCTCCAGGATTTGCACTATGTTTGGGTGGTTGGCACACATCATATGGAGACGCACCTGCGTGGAACAAAATCAAACACAGTAAAGAGAAATGATTGTGTCTTGAATTAAATACATTGCACCTGCTCTATTTATGGTTGGCATATATTTATGTGAACCTGCTCATATCTGGTTTGGAAAAAAAAAATGGGTGACAGGAAGAGGTATGTTTTCTTGTTTGGTGGGTGTGTCAGAGATGCTGCCCAATCAGCAGCAAAGTGCAACCCTGCCGGATTAAAAAGACAGAGCACACAATGGATTCTTAAGTTCTCTACAAATGTGGCAGCTGCTCCTTGGTGTTGAAGATGTGGTTTACTACTACTTAACTGCTCCTGTTGAATGCCTGGGAGCTGAAGGTTGTCTAGAACTTTAGTAAAGAAGCTCTTACACAACAACTGCAACAGTTTTATCTTTATTTGGTCATGTTTATCATTGCAAGAAACTGTCTAAAGAACTGTGAAATAAAACTGATTCTACAAACTGCAAATTATTCAGCTGACAATGAGGTGGCATCTGCCAACTAGCATGTCGCAATGATTCATAATTATGCAGTGTCGGTCTAAGCAGAGAGTCATTTGCACGACAGATCGAAACCTTGCAGACCAGAAATGTAAATTGACCTCAATCTTACACATACAAACCCTGCACCCTCTTTTAAAAAGTGCCTGAAAAATATTTTGTTCAGAGGTAATAATTTATGTGAATTTGCTCGTCAGTGACAGCTTTCCCAGTTCAGCAGTGAGAATGCTTGTGTGAAGTCTGTGTTGCTTGTTTTGACTGCATGTCTCACTGCTCAACTGCTGTTTAAGCTGCTTGATCAAAACAGAAGGCTGCTAATGACATGGAGAGGCTGCGAGACAAACTGTTCACATGAAGACAGAGTCGCAGACAAAGAGGCACAGGAGACAGATTGACAAGGGAAAGGAAAACAGGAATTAATAAAGACAGATAACAGGCGGGCAGACAGAGCATATTGATACTGCCAAAGACAACAAACAACAGGCATTAATCACAACTGCAGCTGAGATTCCTCTAACCTCATTTCTGGCCTTGGGGCGATCAATGAGGATCTTCAGGGCCAGGCGTTCCTGAGATGACTTCTTCACACAAACTCTGAGCAGGAAAGAAAAACAAGAGTCAATTATCGTCACCAATGTGATAATGCACAAGATCAACAAGGTGGTTTCTGTAGTGCAACAGGTAAACAGTGTGGGATGGATGGGTTTAAATGCATTTCTGTAGAATGTATTCACTGTTCACTTTAAATTAAAAAAATACACAGCCAGGCACGAATCAACATTCTCCACACGTCATCCCAGCTGACATTGGGCGAGAGAACACGCTGGACAGGCTACCAGTCTATTACAGGACTGACATTTAGACAATCAAGATTCTCGAATTAAAAACCGCGCAGCCATGGGGCAAGCATGCAGATTCCAGAGAGCAGGTTCAAACACAGAGCCATCTTGCTGCGAGGCGAGAGTGCTAACCACTGCAAAAACCACATATTATCTCAAAGGCCATCAAATGTTTGATATGATGCCAGGCATTCTCAAGCCTTTCCTATTACAAAACACAGCTGAATCAATGTGATGTAGTGTGTAGTCTTGTGAAATGATGGGGGCTATAAGCCTGACCAGATATTTTTGTTATTTTTCTCATCAGAAATATTCCCTAGTTTCATTCAAATGCTTTAAAAAGCTTTGTTGTCAAATTATTCGTGCTTGAATGTTGTTTTACAGCACCCTTCTCAAAGTCTGGGTAACGTGCGCTGTGAAGTAAATGTATTCCAGTGCTATATAAACACAGAGAACAGAGAGCAGCTGACTATGTGGAGCTCAGAACTGTATTTTGTCAACATAACTGTTTGTTATGCGGAATATGAATCAGGCCTGCAAGAGTAAATCCAAAGAAAATCCTCAATGGGTCTTGTATATTTTTCATTGTGACATGAAATAAACTGAAAATCCCTGGCAATGGTTTTCTTCGAAATGGGATTGTAACAGTACACATTTTAACCACAGAGTGTATATAAACACTCTTCCATTTCTGAAAAGCTCATTAACTCCTTCAATTACTAAAATATTCAGTTGGCTTAAAACTGTCACCTCTGGCCCTTAAACTCAGATTACACTATTAAAGCTTTACTGCAAGAAACATGCTGCTTCGGCCAAAGTTCAGTTCACTGGAAAGCAATACCTAATGAATCACAGTTAGACAGAGGGGGGGGCCGATACAGTGTCAGACATGAATGTGTTATGAGACAGGAGGAAGTGAGCTTTGGGATTGGTTTCAAATTAGACAAAGGTCTGAGTGGAATGCAGATAAAATAGATGGGGTGAGTAAGATTTTCCAGAAAAACAAAGTACAGCATAAATCATAGAGTTGAAGAGTAAGTTTACGCAGAGACCTGATGAGTCAGTTTCTAAGTATTTTTGCCACTTGAGGCCAAAACTATACACATAAGAAAATAACGGGTTGTTCACTGCTGATCCAGAACTGGCTGTGATAGCTTCAAAGTGCAGAATGGGCAGGAGGAGTCAGTATTCGACATTGACATATTGCAGCTGGAATCAGCAGGGCAGTGAGACCTACACAGACGGCACTACACAAAGCCTAACTGGACTCAGAGCAGCCGCTGCCTCGCTGTAACATCTTGTAGTAACTGGATAAATCTCAGGATATATAAAAGTTATTTATACGAGCACATAATATCAGTGATAGCTGAGGCAGGAGAGGAGAATACTGATGCAGTTTTAGGAAGCAGCAAACATGACAGAGAAACTCCAAACAACACTGGAATTAACTGGTGGTGATTCTATGTACAACACAACTCCAGTCTGTCCTCCAGATTAACCAAGTAACTCAGTGCATAATGGTTTAAATGTAAAAACACTTGAGTCAATGCTGCTTCTAGTAAGTATTACAAACATATGTGATTTCCTGTTATTCCCCATGTCAAAGAGTAGAAATGATTTTAAAAATGCAGAGGGAAGTGCCCAGATAAGAAAAACTGCTGAGGTTTAACCCTGATACATAAGGACATTCACTAGCTTTGACTACTTGATCTGAGAGCAGCTTCTCAAAAGAAGGTCAGCTGCTTTACACAGTTTCCTCTATAGCATATGGATAACAACCTGCAAGAGCCAAGACACCAAAAAGACAAAAGAAGTCAAAAACAGGCCACGATACTTTCACTCAAGGGTATAAGGGACAGACGTTTTGAGCTGGATTCATGTCTCAGATGCTGCAGCTACGTGGATTGTGTCTGTGCAGAAACAGCCACCGCCAATATTAACTAGAAAGGCACTCAGTTGAGTGCATACCTTCATAAATATCAGTCCTCTAACAGTGTCTGAAGTTACTTATTATTATCCCTTTCTCAGCAAGTGATTTCTCAACCACAAACAGATACTATAATGATGTCTCTTGGCCATGCAAACAACTTGTTCTTGTTCTTGTTCTAGTTTAAATAAAGAAAACATTTTGTCCCATTCTATCTCTGCAACACTGGACCAGCAGCAACAATCTGACAAAGCACAAACACAGTTAAATCAGTAGAAAAGGTGAAGGCGAAGAAACACAAACTGTCTCACCTGACTGGTCCACTGATGCCGGCTCCCAACTTCTGTGTCCAGTTTATGTTGTACTCATCCAGAATCGATGATTCCTATTGGGAAAAGAAACCACAAAATACACATTAAATGCTTGAAAGAAAAATAAGAGAGGCAAACAATTCTGCAAAAATGAATGTCTTACTAATATAATAATGAGATTATAGATCCCCTTCACTTTTCCCAGCAATAATTTTAGTTAGTTTTGCAACACAATCAACAGCCCAGATCCCACTGCCACCACATGAGAAAGAAAAACAAAACACACACTGTAAAATACAGACCACTCCCAATCATTGTCACAACACAGGTCATCAACTGAACTGCTCTGTCATAGTATAGACTTTAGAGTTTGGCTGATTCTACAGACATTCTACTCAGTGAGAGCAGTGGATTGTCTGATAGCAATCTAAGGCATTACTACCTGTTTAGATTCTTGAGAGAGCTTCACTCAGATTATTCTTGAAAAACAGGCAGTTGGCTGATATAAAACATGCCCAGGTGGGAAAACGTAGTCACTGCTGCCTATAGAGGGATAATAGAAGAGGGATGGGATGCTATCCTGGAAGAAGATGGTTGAAATGATTTAAATCAAGTACTTTGTCAATATTTCCAGCCTTGTGAGGTATTCATTCATTAAATTGCCCATCCTCTCTTTATACTTCCATATACCTCAAATTCAAGATTGTAAAATTAATAAAATGTCCCCTTTTTCTGAGAATATATTGGTCTTGGCCAGAAGAATATGATCAGTCATGAGCCACTGCCAACAGGTAACATGGTGTCTCCTCCCTATGACTTGCCAGCCTTATCACATCTCTGTAAATGTAAAGACCTTCATGATAATCAGGATTCATGATTATTATGCAACACAAAATGAGGTGCTTTTATTCACTTCACAGCTGCCCAGGAATCTGACTTCCTGTCACCCTTTTTTTTTTTTTTTCAAAACCAGATATGAGAAAGTTCACATAAATAGAGCAGGTGCAATGTATTTAATTCAAGACACAATGATATTAGCTTGATTCCAGAGAGCAGTCCGTTGAGGCAGAAACTACACAGGCTGTTAGCATACTTTGTTCCAAACCTCCTAACCAAACCCGTTCTGACCATTTCTTGGTTAAGGTTGTGCAAGGGTCTTGACACCAGAAAGTCTGGATTAAGAAAGCCTACACCACTAATCTCTATTTTCATGATAATGGCCCCAGTCTACATGCCGGGTGTGTTCCAGTTTCTAACTACTACTTCTCTCTGTGAAAGCTGGGGCCAGGGCCACTTGAGATCACATATTACTGCTGACATAGTTGCCCTGGCAGAGACGCATTGACGGGAGCAGGCCAGGAACAAATCCCAAAGCCAGGGGCAAATGGAAATGCTGGCTAGTTAATGACCACGATCCTGCCAGAGAGATCCAAGCTCCACAGTAATGATTGTCATGAGTTACACTTTTCCATGACACACTTTTCATAATCTACTATTTGTAAAGTACAAAGAGACAATGGGTAAAAAGTCAAGCAGACTTTTTATTGCAATCACATCAATTACTAGAGGCATAGGCAATTAAGATAACATAGATAGAAGTAACACCAACCTATTGAAAACAAATAAAGCAAATAAAAAAGCATCTGCAAAAGTCTTCAACCCCAACAAACATCACAACCATGTACCCTTGATGCTTCACTTGTTTATTTAGAACCAAACCTAAATCCGATTACTGCAACAAAAGAAAAGCGACAACAACATCTAGTTAAGATAAGATTCACATTTGATTGTGTTTAAATTACCTTAATGAACTTGTCTGCGTTGTTATCCTCCGACATGGTGTCCTGCTCCAGACAGATGAAGTCCGTCCCGTCGAGCTCAGCCAGTTGACAGTGGAAACAAAGCGTCTTTTTCTGACCTTTATAAGTTTTGGTCTTGCAAACCTGGGCTGGAACCAAGGTTTGTTAAATTGCTGCTAGTAACAGGACAAGGCCATTTGGGCAAAGCGATGTCCGGCCACCGATCAGCCAAAGACCCGAAGCCCACCAGCCGCTATGATGAAACGGTAGATCGGCCCAGCTCGGCTCACAACGTCGGGGTCCGACTCGCTCTTCCAGTCGTCTTGAATTCGCTGTAGTGACCATGTAGAGCGTCAAACTCCGAGCGATGTGACCAGAAAAGACGAAGACGAGTCCAACGAGGACCAGCCCACCACTTTTGGACGGGCTCAGAACATGGGACAAGACGTGTATTTTTAGCCGGCGCAGTGAGAGCTGGGGCTCTGCTAACGCTGCGAACACACCGGGTACCCGGCTAAGTTGCTAGCGAGTGAGCTTGTGCCACGATCGGAGCAGGTGGTTACACAACTACGGTGACATCCGAAGATAAACCAGGGTGGAGAAACCATCAGTATATCAGTATCGTCGGGGGAAAGCTGGGTTTGATCTGACACCGTGAGCACACCGTGTTCCCACAGCAGCAGCCTTTAATGTCGTCGAGTCGAGCCTGGTTGTGCGCTAGCGAGCCAGCTAGCTCAGCTGGCAAGTTAGTTTCCCAGCTCTGCTCCAAGCCTCTGATAATAACATTATTCCACGAGGAAGTACAACAGATACGATGCGTCCGTAAAAGAGGAATAACAGCGTCAACAGGTTAAAGAAGAATGTTTCCACCGGTAGTCAAGGAGAACCACGTATCTATGGACTGTTTTCTAATCCCACAGCTTCTTGTCAGTGAGGATACACAACCCGAGTCGGCACTACGCAGTAGCAGCCCGAGCATAACGCCTGATGAAAATTATCCACAACTTTAATAAATTCAGACAAAATATCGATGCACACATTTTTTTCTATTGGTGTATACGTATTTGTGATATTTTTGTTGATTCCAGCGTGGAGTTTATGTGGATTTGTACGATTAACTGTTAATAATTTCAATCAAATAAGTTTGGGACGGACGCCCTTCGGTGGGTCCTTACAAGGTCCCAGTTTGCAGATTTAAGAATAAACCCGTGGATGCAAACAAAACATTCTGGATACACACTCACTGCTGAAGATAACACTCATGTGATCGTGACAGTTTCTGTGATCATCCACTGAGCTACAGCCCCCAAATAAACACAAACTCACATACACACACTTTGTCGACTGTAGTTGAGCTTCTTTTTAGCATTTGCATTTTCTTTTGCTATATATAAAGGTTTAACGACAACTGAAGGCAAACGTTGTACTTTACAACATTCAATATTTAACTTTAAGATAACAAAAATGTATCTGACTAATTGACTTATTTGTTATTGTATCCATAAAATAGATAAGAGTACATTAGTCATCACAAATTGGCATTGCAATGTGCACCATCAACCTCATAAATCACTAAAAATATACATTAAATAAAAATAATATAAAATATGTTGTTTATAAGCAGGTGTGACAGAGAGTAGAGTTTGTGACCAGCAAATATTTTGAATTTTTGCTTGAAAATTGTGATCAAAATAGCTTATTTTTTTATTGCTTATTTTACATTATATATAATTTGTAAAAAAAAAATGCATGCACGCATGCACAAAACACATGATGAAATGAATAATTTCAGGTGCGTAATTGATTGCAATCAAAAGTTAGGGTCCCGTATTATGTTAGCAGTAAGCCAATCTTTGCCAACTGTTAAATAATATTCTCTGGGTGGCAGCCATGTGACACAGAAGACTTTGGGATTCCACTAAACATCAGCACATTATAATGCAGTGGGTCAAAAATACTGAAACTGAAAAGAGGCTGGCTTCTACAAGAGGCACATCTCAAAATCCACTGAGAATTATGTCAAGAAACACGAGCTGAAGCTTTTGGAAGTGCCCTCAATTCCTTATCTGAAAATCTGTGGGTAGCTCTGAAATCTGCTGAGTTTGCAAGATAGCCCAAACAAACTCTCATTATTTTAAGTATTATACATCAGTGGGTGGGAAAGTGTTGCTCATCATTGCATTAAAAAAATAAACAGTAACAAGTCTGTTAACTGAATGGGTTGTATTTAAAAAAAAAAACTGTATGACTAAACCAAACTCCATGTGATTTTCTCCTCTAATTCTTGTGCTTCATGAGGATGGTGGTGGTGAGATCATTCATTAGCAGGATGACGTTACTCTGATCACACCGTCATCGTTATCTTGAGACTTGTTAACAGTCATTGTGTGTTAATTACCGTGCTGTCGACGTGCACACACAGTCACTATGTAACTAGTGTGTCCGCATGTGTGTGCTATGTGTGTGTAGTATGTTCGCCGGCTCACGTGGATGCCCCTAAACACCTATCGAGGTTTGACGGACTTCCTGAAAGTAGTGCCGTGTTGTAGGTGCGCTCGTTGTAAACAGATGAGCTCCTATATGTTTCTATCGAAGGCTCAGATACAATATAACAACATTTTTATTTTATATCATATCGGCGGTTGTCAAAGAACACAGTGGGTGGATTTTGATCCGCTGCGTGAGGTTATTATGAGCCCCTGCGTCTTTCAAATATCCCTCCGCTGTTTTTTGTCCCCTTTCAGACTGTTTTGGTCTTTTTGCTGTTAGCAACGGAACGAACCCGAGATAGCAGTAAACCCTATTTTGAGATAATTAAATTTTTTGTTAGAGTCACACAACAAACCGACAAGGGGTGTAACGCCCCTGTTTGTTCAGGACGAGCGATTGGCACGTGTTGTCTTTTTTAAATTTCATTCTTTTTTTGTCTTAATAGCAAATGTACGGAGTGCTAATTTCGCTAGCCACCGTTAGCCAGCTAGCCTCTTAGCAGCGCATCTTCCTCGGGAGGCACGTTGACATTAGCCCGCCAGCTAGCTTGGTCTCCGGATCGCTAACGTTAGCGAGCTGTCACGCCACCAACACGCCCGTTTTGTCTTCCAAGAAATTGCGGCGTGAAGCTGGTCGTTTTAAGACGCCGTCTTTTATGGGATCACCATGTCAATGAAGGCCGGTGGAAATCGCAGCAAGCCCGGCGGTGGCAGCGCCGCTGGTGCCCCTGCCCCTGGTGCCGGAGGAAGCGGCGGGGGACGACAGAATCTGGGCAGGTCTGTCACTTTGAACCGTTAACGTAGCGAAATAAAAACGCAGCAGCGGTGGGGTTGTGGGGTCGAATACGAGCCCTCGGACTCCATCGCTTTGAACAGTGGCAGATTTGAGAGATGACATTAGGGGTAAAAACCAGAAACCAGTCCGTGTTTGAGAGCGTTTCGTGGGCCTTGCGACGTGTTGGTCACCCAGCGTAACGTGATGCAGTTCAGCTAGCGAGGCCTGGCGGCTCTTTAATCATGTTGCAACTTCGACGTGACGATGTGCACGCTGAATAAAACGCCTCGTGTTTATCTGTGGTGATGTATTCAGACATGTTTGTTCGGACTAACATCTCCCCCCTGCATGTGTGTGTGTGTGTCCGTGGAGTCGTTGGTGCCAGTTAACTCTCAGCTCGTAGTCAACCTAGCTAGCGTTAATTAGCCGTTTGACAGCACATGCTTGTTATTCAGTGCACTTGCCTCATTCGCTTTTATAATGGGGGACGCAGCCTGGTCACTTTCCAGCCTCATGAAACAACAGTGTGTGTGTGTGCGTGCGTGTGTGTGCACGCACTCGACTGTCATGTTGCTCGGAGCGTTACCGCAACATTGCTGCAAAGGCATTGCCAAGAAAACGGGCGAAAAAGCGTGTGGGCGCACGGAATCAGAAGAAGAGGGGCGGGTGTGGAGGAGAAGTGGGATTTACACACCGACGGGATTTCAACCTTGACGTTGCCCGTGTGAAATAGTGTCCTTGAAACATGACATTTCTGCACATGTCCTCCTGAGATCCAGCTAACACTCACTGACAGTGCACGGGCTGCAAGCCGATTTTTTTTTCTCTTGGTTGAAAAATGTGGTCGGGCTTCTGCTCACCGGTCACTAGGACAGCGTGTCCATTCATTGCGTAGGTTCCATCTATTAAGGTTGTGAGAAGATGCTGTAAAAAGAATGGATGAGCTCAGAGTAGGACACGCGCATGCAACCCCCCCNCCCCCAGCTCGTTTCACTTCTAAATGAATCTGATTGCATTTGTTTTAATGTGGAGGATCTGAGTGTGGTCTAGTCAAGCTATTGCTCCATGTACCACAGCGATCATAATGTAGGGAAAGTGGCCATTGCCCACACTGAATCAAGTGAGAATGCTTGGCTGTGTGCCAGCTGTTGAACAAGGTGCATTTTAGGACATGCTTGGAAAAAAATGTAGGATTCAGAGTATTTGGCTGGCAGCTACTCAAATACATTTCTTCACCCTGGAATCTGTGGGAAAACATCAGACTCTACATTGCAATAAACACGTGTAATGGATTTGCATTCAGGAGACCTTTCAGTGCAGATTAAATTGTATAATTCATGTTGGAAGATGATTCTCGGGCTTTCCCTCTTTAACATGTGCAACAGCAGCTCTGTTCTCTCTCAAGAATTTACACCATCACCTCATGGGATTTTCGGCAAGCCTCGTTTTCGATATGAAAGCATGATGTTCAGTGTTAATGATGATGGTGAGTCTAACAATGCGTTTTTTTCCTTTCAGGGGAAGACACAGTGGTAAAGGTCCTGCAGCAGTAAGTAGATTGCTTATTCTCATTAGTTAGTGGGAGACAGCTTTATTAAACATGGACGTGTATCATTATTAGTTTGGTTTACCTGCGTACAGTATTTTATCTAAAAAGAGAGGTTGGTTTTTGAGAATTGACACAAGGGATTAATGGTTCTTCTGTTAATTTGGTGCAGAGTAATTTGGATACAAAATCATGTTTTTGTAAGGTATTTAATGAGGGTTAAAAGTTGAAAAAGATGGATCTGAGAGACACCAGAAATACAAGGGATAGGATTTTCTTATTGTTATGCATTTTAAATGTGACTGTCTTATTTGTTTAAAATGGCCGTGAGAGCCTATTTAACACACATTTTCTTTGCAAATGGGGAACTTTAGAAGTTAACAGTGTTTTTTTTTTTCTTTAGGTCATTTTCAATGGTGTATATGCAAATATGAGGATGGTCCATGTCTTGACTTCAGTGGTGGTATGTTTGCTTTGTGTCTATCTTGCTATGTTTTTTGGGATGAGGTTCCACATATGTCTAGTATCTGCTAAATTTTGTCTGTTCGAACCATAATGAACAGACGAATGACCATCGTTACAGAAAACCTAGCTTGAAATGGCTGATGTGAATCATGCTTAATGTAAATGAATTAGTAACAGCAGCATGCACTGCAGTCTGTTGTTCACCACATGCTGTTTCTCCAAAATGTCTATGCTGCAATAAACAAAGTCTGTGATTTGTAGAGACAGCTGGTTGCATAAACACAGCAGAGATTGATCAATCATTTGTCCGTCTTGCAGCAGATGGTTTTCTAAACCTGCCTTTTTTTTATGTCTAAATTGACATTGACACTTTATTGAATGACTGCATGTTGCATACCCTGAATAATGATAATCTTTTTTTATTTATAGGGGACCAAGTGTGAGCTGAAAGTGAAAGATGGTGCAGTCTATGAAGGAGTGTTTAAGACATATGGTCCAGAGGTAAGGATCTCACAGAGCGATGTTCTTAATAGCTGCTAATACTGAGCTTGCTCAACAGCACTACTAATGATTACGGTTAACTGTGCTGGTATGCTAGTGCCCTGCCAGCACTCTGCAGCAACATCACCCCTGAGGTGGCTTCAGCAAAGATCACCCTTTCCATTTTTCCTTTTATGGATGGCAGCTTCATCTTCCTTTTTAGGTCGAAGTATTCCCCAATCTTTCTCGTTCTGGGAAAATGTCATTTTGCACGAGGGAAAAGCTTAACCTGAGGCAAGGTGAAGGATTTCTGTCCAGTTCATGTGCTTTATACTTCAGTTCTTGATGACGTGCCAGTAGTGGACATGATTCCCTGTTTTCACTCCAAACCGCACTGATATTTGTTTCTTTTTATCCCCCACCCTTTGAAAGATTGTAAGGCTGGCATTATACTCCAGAAGAAATTGAATTTGGTGTGCCTGCTCAGGCAAACACACCGCTTTGTTCTGAGACCAAAACAAAGCATCACATTTGGCTTTTATTATCTCAGTGTGTGCAAGCTGAGCAGTCAAACATGCTGAAAAGTCCACACAGTTGTATTCACCCTCCCCTCTACGCCATTTCTCAAAAATGTAGTGTTTGATTTCAGAACTTGTGTTTTCAGTTTTCCTCAATATTATTATACAATTTGAATAATTGTCATTGATATTTGTGATCTTATCCGCTTCCATGGCAACTGAGAAGCTCCTCCATCAAGCATCAATGTATTTTAAAAGAGCAGAACTCAAATGAAATTTAAGTCAAATTTAAGATCATATATGATGTTCAGTGAAGAACCTTGAAAGGATTTCCTGTAGTTCATCTATAAGCATGTTGATGTTGTATGCTGGGCCCGGATTGCAGGTTTCCATTCCAGTCAAACACCAAATGGGTCAATCGATCAGGCTGTTTCGTGTTCATTGGGGTTCATTCCATTAATCTTCATTTTTGATGAGTTGCTTTGTAAAGTGTATTAAATCCCATAAAATGGTGAAAGTAGTTGCTTAATAGATTTATTTAAAAGATCAATTACTTGTTGCCACTGCACAGTTACTATGTTGCATGGTCTCACTCCTCTGTGTCACATGGTTCTTCATCTTATCTGTAGATGGGACTTTTGCTTCATTTTTCATTTCAGATTCCCCTTTAATCCTATTTTTTTCCAAACTTCCACCCTCAGTGTGACCTGGTGTTGGATGCAGCCCACAGTAAGAGTCCTGAGCCGAGCATAGGCCCCAGGAAAGAGGATATTGTGGAGAGCATCATTTTCAAGGCCTCCGATGTGGTAGTGGTGACCTTCAAAGATGTGGATCTGAGTTTCGCCAGGAAAGGTACTGAGCACATTCATGTTGATTTGATCTAGATACACAACCTGCAGTCTTTATATACACATACTACATATGAAACGGACACATTCTAAGTAGTTAAATTTGTGGCTTTGTATTCATTTCACACACCCAAAAATAAACAAATGTCCCTGTTAATGCCAATCAGTGCATGCACACAACATATTGATCTTCAGTTTGTATTCACCACCTTGATGTCATAGGATTTGCCATGAGTTAAATCTCGTGTGTGTGCTCTGATTGCTCAGTCATTGAAGACTAATTTGATCTGCTGATTGGTCCGAAGGTTGCCCTGGCGCAGCAAGGACACTCAATAAAGTCTGAATGAGTCTCCTTCCTCTCATTCATCTTGGCCCATACAGTTTTCCTTTGAAAGATTATCAACTGTGTGGGAAGGTTTATTTTCTGAGTCAAATATCTTATCTTGTTAAATTTAACAATTGTGGACTGACTGGGAAGTCTTTAAAACAGTATGTGATCCAAAGCACCGTCTCCAATATTAGTGATAATGTTAAAGAGTCAACAAGATAGTTAAGTTCAGCATTTTTGAAAAAAATATTATGTCTGCAGTTTTTATTTGGAAGGTACATATGTTTTTCACCAATTTATATACAAGGGGAAGATACAGGATATAAAGGGACATGTGGAGTTTGCTAGACAACCCCACTCAAGACTTCGCCTTTGCAATTCTCCTTGCACCTCATTGATCCACATCCAAGAATTGTTGAATAGGAATTCAACTGTTGGTGTGATCGGCACTCAGTCATTCTATCTGTTAGTCCATCTTCTGACTGTGTCATATGTCTGTCTCTCCTCTCCAATGGTCTAGTCTCCTCTGATACAGGTAATATATGGCTGTTTTCTCCTCTCGCACTTTTGTGTAATGCACTTATATATGTATATATGGAATATAGGCTCAAAATCAAACTCAAATAATTGTAAATCTCAGAGTCTTGGGCCTGATCTGTTGCCCTCCTGCTACATTTATAATCTAATTTGGTGATTGAATTTGAGTATCACTGACTTTCATACAACCTAAAAATAACATTTCAGTATCTGATGCAGGTCAGTCTTGCTCCATCTTTACACCAGATCCCTTCTTTTATTTTCAGACAGGATGTTGCTTTCAGTGGAAGAGTTTTCACTTGCCCCCAACACTTATCAGTAAAGCTTTTAATTAGACGTTAGCAGGGGCTCAATATTGAGCCATGGGCATTATATGAATTATATGGCCTTATGCTTACTTAAATGGAATCTGTGAAAGATGTACAGCTACTTGTGTTAAATGTTTAATCTGGTAAACTTACACAAACTGCAAAGTTGAATTTGGACATTTTAATTACTTATTTAGATCTAAGCACAATTAATGCTTGTACATAGCCACCTAGAAGAAGAGGAAGGATTGATTTGTTGTATCTCATTTTCAGAGCACTATATCCTTTTTCTAAACATGGGATTTTGCTGCAGCACTTGATTTCAAATCTTGCTCGACTAGAACTCGCAGTCAAAGGAAAGAGGGGAAATTATAAACATAATGATTCCATTGAAAGCAACAGCTTGAAAACTCTTGACAAACACTACCAATTCAATTTTATGGTTTACAATTTTATGAGCATGGTATTTAAAATCAAGTTATTTGATTTGGCCCTGAAGTGCTTTAAGGTCATATAAAAAGACTGCAATCTAAACGCATGTTTGCTTTACCCCCTCACTATGCTCACATTTGACTTGTAAATTTCCCTTATGTTATGTAAAATTCCCTCGATGGACTGTGTGCATACCAACCACCTTTACTAATATAATTCAGGCCTGTTATTACAACTGTTTCGGAGTTGCCAGTCGAGTATTTCTAAACCAGTTTAAATGTTAGAAATGCTAAAATACACTTTGTGTTGTGAGATGAGTTGGGATGGCTGAGTTATGTAACTCCAGGTGGCTGATATGCTTTGTGCACATAGTCCATTGATGCCAGCACTGAGAAAGTGAGAGCAGACTTGGGCTGACCTGAGATTAGATTTCCTTTCAAACATAATTGAGGGTTTTCTTTGAGCATGCCTGTCCCTGGTTTTAGTTGAGCCATCCAAATTATTCTGTGAGTTTACTTATGCTCCTGAAAGTCTGGACTATCAAGTAGTTTCACTTTTTTTGCATGTGAAAGTCAGCTTTCAAAAATGCGGCCATGGCGATTGTATAATAAATTAAGTGGGGGGGAAGTTGGGCATTGTAGATACTGTGTCATACATCAAATTTCTGATGAATGTCAGCCAGTAATTCTTTAATTTGTAGATTCTGACACAAGCTAAGAAAGTGATTGGGGATTATTTTCTCCCTTTTTATACGAGGCTGGATTCATACACTGTCAGAACAATTTACCTCTGTTAGCTTTACCAAGGCCAGCTCAAGCAATAGCTCAAATTTTTTTGAAAGGATTTATTCTCCCAATCCAGTTGGACCCATGTCTGGTTGTGAGTGGGTGTGCCTGGTGAACTTCCAATACCTCCATTAAAAATCTTTGCTGTGAGAGCTGGTGGCAGAAGCTCTTGAGGCATGAGCGCTTCCCTGCATAAACAGTGAAAATGCAGCTATGGGACTGCATCACGTCTTTGGGCTCCTCTCTGTGTGGGTTTTTGGATGTGTGAGCTTGTGTGCGGCAGTCTGCTGTACACAAAGATGTATTCTTTGTGTGAATCGCAGACAACTTCACAGATGCAGCAGTGAGTGGTAGGATCAATGGCGAGCACAAGGAGAAAGATCTAGAGCCTTGGGATGGTGGAGAGACCCACAACTCAGACAGCCTAGAGTCTCTGGATACAGATGTGGTAAGAAGACAGGCGCACAAACACATTTGATGCTGTGCTTAGAATTAAAGCCTCACAGGCCATTTGATGACTTGTAGATCAGACAGTGAAAAAAGTAAAGAGGATATTTCATTAGGTCCACAGCATTGATCATTTGTGTACAGGCCTTTTTTGAAATGATGTCACTCTCTCTGCTCCTCTCCCGCTCTTCATGTCAGTCAAATGGGTGGGACCCCAATGACATGTTCAAGTACAATGAGGAGAAGTATGGAGTGATGTCTACATATGACAGCAGCCTGTCCACATATACGTAAGTTATTCTGTTCATATGAGTTCCTATCTTCACTCTTAATATATTAGATTTATTTAAAACTAAGCAATGTGTTTTCTGGATGTGATTTTTAATATCTGTGGTCTGCATTAACCTTTACTGTGCCTCTGTTTATGAAAAGTCTAACTTTGGGCTTGGGGATGGTTTTGGGCTTGTTTCTTATCACTCCATCACCCTGCTGCGCTTGTCTGACCTGAGCTTGTTTTCCAGGGTCCCCCTGGAGCGGGACAACTCAGAGGAGTTTCTCAAGAGGGAAGCGCGTGCTGCCCAGCTGGCCGAGGAGATTGAGGCCAGTGCCACATACAAGGCCCGCGTGGCCCTGGAGAATGATGAACGCTCCGAGGAGGAGAAATACACTGCAGTGGTTCGAGGGGAGAGGGAGCCTCACACGCTTAGCAGCAGGTGAGACCAGGAGACACTTAGAAACTTCGGGTCAATAAATACGTCCCATACAACATCCTCATTGTTGTTAACTGACTTTGTGAATGTTCTTCAATACTAGCTCCCTTTAAAATTTAGTGGCACAACACTGCAACATTCATGTTCCCATTGTTGAATGTAGTGTAATTTAACTTGTAATGCTTTACATTTGTAATTATTTTTATTAACTGTGCATAGCACAAAGAAATGATGTTTGACTGAGTCAGCAGCTTTTGTTGTTGACTTCCTTGCCTATAGGTCTTTATAGGTTTGGAACATAAATCATTCATCTCTAATTGTGATAAGTGATCTAATAAAATATTCCTTTCTCTGTTTTATTAACAAGTCACAGCATGTTTGTGCAGTAAAACTGACTATAAATATCCCCAGAGACGATTTATCATCTTTGAGGGTGGATTTCTCCCACAGGTAATTTGTTAGTTATGAAACAACAACCGAAAGATGTGTGCTGTACACACTTCTACTTCATTTCCAGGGCCTGTTATTTTACAATGGCCAGAAATGGATCCGTGTACCAGCATTTTATATACTATGGTTATTTCAATATACTTTATATAAGTCAAATGTGTTTCGTAGGACTTTGAGCTTAAGTGCAAGGAAGAGAGCACAAGTAAATTAACTAAATATAGGCAATCTGATTGAACACATGGATCTACAGTGGAAAAGCTCAGGCTTAAGAAGCACATTATTCAGGCCTGAAAGGAAGACAAACAGTTAAAGCAGATTCACTAAATAGACCGCAGCTGTTCACAGAAAACATGCTCATTTTGGCTGATAAAAATTACTGAACATAACAGAGTGTAGAATTAATCCCTCCCCATTTTATCTTGACTATTGTCTTGTGTATATTTAACTAAACCATCTGCCTCCGTGTGTGTGTGTGCATGTGTTTGTGTGCAGAGAGAACAAGTACATTCCTCCAGGTCAGAGGAACAGGGAAGCGATGTCTTGGGGACCAGGACGTCAGAATACACCTCGTCTGGCTCAGGGCTCAGCCGGGCCCTCGACCCCTCGACCTGGACCTCATGACTACAGTCCCAACTCCGGGGCCGACCAGAGGGTCGTTAATGGAGGTGTGTGTTAGTACATAAACACAACACACAAACCACACTGAAAGTATATTGGATAGTGAGTGATAATGGTGACCCAACTATCCCACGTAAACTGTTGGTGACTGTGGTCAAGAGTGTCCATATTTGTTGTTGCCGGTAAAATCGTTTTATATATTTATCGTACTTTAGTTGTCAGTGAAATCCTTTTAATTCTACCTTGCCATTCTGTCTCATATTTATTAATCTTCCCCTTCTTTCCATTCCTGCTGTACCTTTGTTTTCCTCACTTTACCTGCTTATCATCTGCTCTTTGTCATCCTTGATCATTTGTCCTTCCCTCTCTTAGGTTCATCCCATTGGCCCTCACCCTGTCCGTCTCCTTCCTCCCGCCCCCCCTCTCGTTACCAGTCTGGCCCCTCCTCCCTGCCTCCTCGGGCGGCCACGCCCACCAGGCCACCCTCCAGACCCCCCTCTCGACCCTCCAGGCCTCCCTCTCATTCATCCCACCCCTCCTATCCCTCCTCCTCATCCTCCTTTTCTCACCATGGGCCCACCTCGCCAGCCTCCACTCTGCCCAAACGCATGTCTTCAGAAGGTACCCACATCAGTGTGGAGTAGACCTGGGCAAAAGCATGAGTTGAAGGTGGATGGATTGAGCCCAAAGTGGAACTGACATCCCCGAAATGTTTAAATGTTTGAAACTGTCTTAAAAATAAAATATGGAAACTACTTTCAAAATTAAATTTGCCCAGGTCTAGTGTGCAATAACAGAAATAGGTGAAGTTGCTTCTTCAGGCTGATTTGGGGTCAGATTTGTCATTTCCACACAATATAGAAATTGTGAGGATTTAACAAGCCACAAAACTGATCCTTTGTCAGTGCATCAGGCAGTTTCACCTTGGCATGTGGGTGCATCACGGTGTGTGTGCTGTGCTTTCTGTGTAGCAAGAGTCGAGCCTACAAAATTCAGGATTTGAAACTACTTTCCAACAGCAGCAGTCATAAAGACAATATTAGAACATAACAAAACCTGAACACTGTGGCTGCTGAGGGATTGAAAACTCTTTTTTCAAATCTTTTCAAGATACAAAGCTTGGTAAAGATTTGAATGAGGCATAGTAATATCTAAAACAACGTGACCAGTTGGTTCTCCCACACACACACTGTGCTCTAGTCACATTATCAGTGGGGCCCATTCTGTTGTCCAGCACATTGACTTTGAAATATATCAGTGAGCACATGTATAAATATGTAGTCAGAGCTTTAATTATGGCTTTAGTTTCTACATCCGTACTGGATGGACTGTGTAGGAATTCTCACATTTTAATTTTTTAAATTTAATTTAACCAGAAACTATTTGATAAGTTAAAATAAACCTAAAGATTAACTTGTCATTTAATTTTTCTGCCATTCTGTTATTGACCTCTTTGGCTTAAAAGATTTTAAGCCTGTTGCATCTCTAATGCAAGATGTTTTTTGGACACGCCACTGTCTTCATGGTGATGTATTTGTTACTGTACTCTCTGAATGAGTGGAAATAATTAAGTTACACTGTCCAAGTATTTATAGATCACGTTAATAGTTTTATCAAATGTATACACAGTGAAATTTATTTGCACAACCTTTGCTAAACAGTGAATTATTTTATTACGGCTTTCACTTCACCTGCTCTTTCTCGTTCATTAGCTCACTTCACTTGGTTTTGGTTTGAAAAGTGTGGTGTGTTGTTTGATCTGGTCTTTCTCCACTAACACGCATGTTACCAAATAACATAACCGTGTGATGTGATACTTAAACATTAGATTATGGTGTAATCAGCACAGATGTTTGGGTTTTTTTTGTTGTTGTTTTTTTTTGCTTCTTTTTGAGCGACACAGATGGGCTTCAGAGAGAAACCACAGCGGGATGGTTGGAAACACTGTTTTAAGTCTACTTTACCTCCACTGTTCATGGACTTCTCTCTGTCTTTGTCCACAGGTCCACCCAGGATGTCTCCGAAATCCCAGCGGACACCTCGTGCTCACAGAGTTCCACCCTGCCGGACAACTGGCATCCCCCCAGGAGTGGACTTAATTTCCCACAATGCACCCGGAGAGGTCCCGGTGACTACACCAAGTAGGAGCAGCTCCTCATGGTCTTCAGTAGTTAGCGGAGGTAGAACAGTTCTTTCCTTTTGTGTGGGTTTTTATTGTGACACATTTCCAAACATTAACACACAAAATAACTCAGTAGAAAATATATGCGAAGGAAATGGCATTTTTTTGATCATTTAAGTTTTATTTCTGATGTCCTCAGCTCACAGACCTCGCTCCCCTCGTCAGAATAGCATGGGTGGAGCCTCTCCTGGCTCCTCCTCCCTCCCGTCACCTCAGACAGGAATAGCTCCTGTGGAAACTGTCGCCACACCAACATCAGCTTCCTCTCCTACTGCTGCTAGTCCTGCTCCCAACATGGTCGCCTCTCCAACAGGAGATGGTAAGCTTTAAAAGTTAAATGTCCTTACATAAGGACTCAGGGAGTAGGGAATGCCAGGGATGATATGAAATACTTAATTTGTGTGCCCACAGCGGTTCTGTAAATATCAGATGCACTGTTCGCAAATGCTTGCTTGGATTTTATGTTGGGGATAAACAGACAGTTTTTCTTTGTTCTGTTTAGCAAAAGATTGTCGTGTTCAGGAGACAAGACAAACATCCCCCACAGCAAACAAGGAGAACATCAAGCCTTTGGAGAGCTCGCCTAGTATCCCCAGACCAGTCTGCAAAGGTGCAGTATACGGTGAACAGCAGTGTTTGCATCAGGCATCAGTTCTGTGAAGATGTATCACAAGGCTTCTGATGAATGAGGCACCTGTTTTTATTTATTTGCTGTCGTAATGTAATTTTAGCTCTTTTGCTGCCATAAAAATAGATTGGGCCATAATATGATCAATTTTTGTTACGACCAAACTCCTCATTTATCTTTCTCTCTTCCAGGACCCCCTTCAATGGCACCAGACCACAGAAAACAAATAGATAATTTAAAGAAATTTAGTGTAGATTTTAGGGTGAGTATCTCTTTCATTGATATAAGTTACCTCAGGTTTAGCAAGCTGATCTAGCTGATTTGTGTCCAAATCGTCTAACTCCCTCTTTTGTTTCCCCTCTTCCAGTTGCAGTCTAGTTCAAACCCAGACCCTGCCTTTGACCAGATGATGACCAAGCCACCCAGAGATCCAGCAGACAAGCCTAAAGAACTTCCCCTGGACAAAACCTCTTCAGTGGCGCGGGAGGGCAATGAAGAGGGTGTTGTAGTGATTGCTGCTGGAACCCCCGCAGGTGCCCCTGCTCCTTCCACTGCCAACACAAACACCAGTAAGCCTGGCAGCCCTGCTGCACTGTCCCCGTCTCCCTCAGCCCCAGACCTAAAGAGGGCAGGGCTGGATGTGGCATCACAGGGAGTTCAGACGACGGCCACATCCACATTCAGTGGAGCCAAGCATGAAGAGAAGGAGGAGAAAAAGGAGGCTGTACAAGAGTGAGTTGAAGAGATAGTGTGATTTCGAGGGGAGCCTATACGTGTTAAATCTGGAGGTGCTGTGTGTATAGTTTTGCAGTCACAGCCTGATATTTGTATTCCTCCATGACATTTTAGTGCATTCTATCCCACATACACATTCTGCTGCCAGAAAACCAACCACAATATCAATCAGAAACATATAATGATGCAAATGCTTCCAGACTGATCCCTTCAATATTAAGTTGTTCATTGTTTCTTCTCCTGCAGTCAAGTGAGAAAATCAACCCTGAACCCAAACGCCAACGAGTTCAAACCCAGGTTCAATACACAGGTCAGTGTTTTCTGCTGCTGCTGCCAGACTCCACAGTCTAAATATCACCAACTGAAGCTGTTCTTACACTACTGTTATAATTTCTCTTTTTTTAAAATCACTTCACCAGCCCAAACCAGCCAACACCCCGACACCCCCTCGTCCTCAGGGCCAGCCCAGCCCCTCCATTGTTGTCCAGCAGTCACCGGCTGTCTACAGCCAGACGGTCTGCTTCCCCCAAATGTATCCACTCACACCCGTCAGCCCGGGAGTGCAGGTGAGACACACGGCTGCATGCTGGCACGTGCAGACAGATGTACTTTTTTTTCTACTCAATGCAGATCATCACCCTGAGCATCGAACCAGTGATACACTGATTCATCATCGAATCAGTATAAAACTAATCCCTGACTAACCACCATCACCTCCATCTTCTAACATGTTGGTCATCATTTCCTATTTTTCTTTCTTTTTCTGTCTTTGATTCATCTCTTACTATTTTCTTCGCATTTATTTCTCATTTTATTTTTCAAGGAGACACCTCATGATTTTTCAATTCTTGTTTCATTTTTACTAAACGTGCATCCTTTGTCGTCACTTTTCTTTCCCCAGTCATCTTCCAGACTGTTATTTGGCTGAATTTTCTTTGGCTAAATCGTTTAAAAAATGTTTGGGTAAAACAATCTTGGAAATGTGTAAGAAAGGAGGAAGTGTATTAATAAAATATGATGTCAAGAATTTCAATCATCACCTATTGAAAGTTTTAAAGTTAGTAATTTATGTGTCTTAAAATCTATATTTTTACCTGTGTTGCTTTAAGAAAAACTTGGTGATCCAACATCAGACACGTGTAAAAGATAACATACGTTGGTGAACAACTAAAGAGTGGTTATTTTTTCCTTTTCTCCCCCTCCCCCTCCTCCTCCTCCTCCTCCTCCTCCTCCTCTCTCTCTCGCTCCATTAGAAAAGCATAATATGGAAGGTTTGTGAAGATTTCTATTTTTTTAAATCCTTTTTTTAAAGCCCAATCAGTTCTGAGATGTTTTGCTTGCTTGTTGAAATAATTTCATCAGATGTTGGTTTGCCAACTTCTTATTGCAATTCATTTTAACCTGTATCTTATTTCTATTGGTTTTATCTGTTTATCCAACAAATGGCTGTAAGCTCATAGGAGTCTAAGCCTCTTTGTTGTTGCTGCTGTACTGTTTGCAATAGGAAATGCATGTTGTTTGATACTCAAGTATGACGAGCAGCATTTGGTTTATTGTAAAACACACAATGATAGACAGGCAGAGAAAATGCATGTGTCCCCAGGTAAGAGATAATTCCCATAACCTCACAGGCACATTTTAAAATGTTAATTTATATGTTTGCTGCTAAAGCAACAGTTCAAAGTTACATAATAATAGTTGTCCTGTACAAATAAGCTCAAATTTCACCAGTTTTTATTTGAGGGCTGGTTCTTATTGAGAGAGGTTGAGAGTTAACTTGTTTTTTTTCATCTACCATTTTCATTCCCCTCCTCCCTCCAGTCTCCAGCTATGTACCAGGTGCAGATGCCTCATATGACAGTCAGCCAATCTAAACCCTACAGACCAGGTAAAGGTGAGAACTGTTTTCTCATTCCCTCCCACTAGTATTTTCTTTTTTTTAGCTAAATGAATAAATCTGGTTGGGATAACTACTATATTAACATCTCTAACTAAGCTACAGGGGATGAATCATCCATTAAGTCAGGATTTACAGATCAATGAATGACGAGGTGTAAAAGAAAAAAATGACAAAAAATGATTCCTCCAGCATCCTTGAGTCTGTCAGGAAGTGGGAGTGATTGATTAGTTGATTCATTGAGAAACTGATCAAACGTATTTGCTTTGTAGGCACAGAGCTGAACATGCACAAAAACAAATACTTTATCTAATAAATACATTACAAGTGATAGAATATGAAGTGTCAGAAGGAAAACAAAGCAATTAATGGCAAACAATATTGGACATCACCACCCTAAAGCATTCATTCAAATTTATTCCAAGAAATATTAGATACTGAAGTTGACATGATGAAAAAAAAACTTAAAGCAGTGAAAATAAATAATTTAACTTGGGTTAGCTTCAACTGTAAATGTGGTATTTATTATTATTTATTTATTTGGTGTTATCAGTGAAAAGTATTTC